AACACAGTGAACAGAAACCTGAAACTATCTCAAGATAACAGGAAGGTGACACATGTGGATGAGCTCCAGCCATATCCTGATCATCCAGACAGATTTGATTACAGGCATCCTCAGCTGCTCTGTGGAACTGGTCTGACTGGTCGCTGTTACTGGGAGGTTGAGTGGAGAGGAGGAGTTGAGATCTCAGTGAGTTACAGAGAAATCAGGAATAAAGGAGACAGTAGAGCCTGTTGGTTTGGAAGGAATGACCAGTCCTGGACTCTGGTTTGCTCTGGTGATAAAGATTACTCTGTTTATCACAATAACAGACGGATACCTATCCCCTCCTCCTCTGTCTCTCACAGAGTAGGATTGTATGTGGATCATCCTGCTGGGATTCTGTCCTTCTACCAAGTTTCCTCCGACTCACTGATCCACCTGCACACTTTTAAAACCACATTCACTGAACCTCTCTATGCTGGGTTTGGGCTCTGGCTCTCTGGTTCCTCTTCAGTGTCTCTGTGCCGAGTTGAGTCTAAAGAGTCTAAATATTTTCCTCCTGTCAGAGAAACTCTCTCTGTTGAACAGATAGTTCAGTCTCTACTTGTCTCTACATTTTCAGATTCATGGATTCAGTTGTTTCTGATGGAAACTCTAAATCATTCCTTAAAAACTTTTTCCTCTTCCAGATGGGAGCAGAGATTATTCCAGGATTATTCCAGGATTATTCCAGGATTATTCCAGGATTCTCATGATTTTTCTATTTCCAGTCAAACCTTCACACTGAATATCAAGATGTTGTCATTTTCTCTCGTGTTTTTTTGTCTTTTCAACATTTTAGTAAAATCACAGAGAATGTTGATCAGTTTTTCTCAACCACTGGAAATAATCTCTTGTTTTACTAAATGCATCATATAAACTCATTTAACATCCAAAAATGAGGGTAATTTTATTTGTCTGAAGAAAACATCAACATTTACTTTATTTTTATGGCTGAAGTGTCAAAATGTTACATTATTGCTTTCACTGATATCTGCAATCCTGTGGATCTCTTATTAGTCTTATGGGTCTGTTTAAATGCGTGGACATTAATTGTTTTAAAAATAATTAGTGTCATGAAGACTGAAGCTGGTTTGTCATCACTGCAGGGGGTCGTGGAAGGACAGCTGTTATAATGAAATGAGAGACTGTCCAAGTCCAGAATTGACTTTAATTAACTATTGAAGTTCCAACATACACAGAAATAAGCGCATGTGTTTTCTATAAAGATAAATAAATACAAATTCTAAGTACTCGTCTGTAAATTCTTCTTTCACAAAAACAACTACCAAGGGAATAAATGTGCTTAAAGCCAGCAGCTGATTAATACTGACTATGAGAATGTAAATCATTGCATGTAAATAATAATCAAATAATATTATTATCAGAATATTATTTGACAAAACATAAAAGAAAATGGCATTTCAATTAGAAATTGATAACAGCTGCATCTAGTTACTTGAAACCAGGTACCTAAACTAAAGCTAACCGGCTAGCTTCTTTAGCAGTTAGCTCCTTTAGCAGTTAGCTTCTTTAGCAGTTAGCTCATCATACAAATAATGACACCAAACCACCAAAATATTCTACAAACACTTTAAGAAACTGAACTAGAGGAGAGCGGACCTCTGCAGAATCTTCTCTTTCCTCCACACTGCAGCTTCATTCCTGAGGTTCTGGGTGTTGTGATGAGATCTGTGGCTCTCCTGGTTCTGTCTGGTATCGCTGTTTGGTTCTTTTGGCAGAACTGGAACACCATGTGTAGGTGCAGAACCAAAGAGGATGACCAAGCTTAGCTTTACTTCAGGAATGTTTGAGCTCTGCTTAAGAGGAGGGAAACTTAGATCAGTCATATAATGAAACTTTGCTTTAAAAATAATAAATAATTGTATGAAACTGTTTGTATTCTGGAGAAATATTTCTGCAGCTGTTTATGTATTCAAGCTCCAAATCAGCCTCTTCATTTTGTACTTGTGGTGATATTATTAAAAACAGGAAGCTTATGGTTTATGTTTCCTGTCTGATTTGTGTTCTTTTAAAAGTCTTATAACAGAACCTTCTCCCATTCTCTTTACAAAGTTCTGCATTTTCATGAATCTTCTTTTTGAGAAAGCAGGTCGAAGGCTTGAGAATGATTTGTGTTTCAAATCTGTTTTTTGGTTCAATTCATTAGAATGTTGTTGAAAAGTTCATTTTAACATCTCTACAGACTCCACACATCCTGGACACAAATGGTTTATATTCAGAGCGCCATTCACTAAGACCGGCTTTGAACCTGCACATATAACAGTCTCACTGTGTTCCTTGGTCTCCATGATGCTGTTTGGTCACTGATGTTCTCTACTTAACAGAATATTGACTTCTGAAGCAACTAGACTGTATTTGAGTTATCAAAATAAAGGTATGATATGCACAACACTTTTTAAAGTTTCCAATAAGAGACAGTTGAATCATTTCTGCTGCTTCCCAACTTTGTACCACAAAAAACCCCATGAATACATAGAATTTAGACATTTATGAATACTTTTGCAACCATTATTAAGTTTAACCACTTAATAATGGTTCATACGTTTAACATGCATGATAATTTGTATGTATTTTTAAATATTGTAGTTGAATATTTTCTTATGAAAGAAGCTAAACATTTCTGTCTGATTTCACAGCGTACTTCTGCTGTAGTTTCACACAGTGACCAGCAGAGGGAGACACTTGCACAGTGATCTCCAGAGGAAGGCAGTTACACAGAGCGAACAGCGGGTGTCGCTGTGAGCTTATTTGGGTCAGATTGACGTCATTGTTGGGGAATGTTAAAGATGGCGCTGGGCGGTCAGAGGAATGTTGCCGCAGCAACAAGCTGAAGGGATTTAATTAATCTTCCAGCCGGCACCGAGTTCCTGTTCCCTCCACGGACTGAATACTTCAGGTTCTGAAGCCAACATGAGCCCGGCAGACCCGGTCAGAGCCCGTAACCGTGTGGTGTCCCTCCCGTTAAGATGGTAGCCGGATCCTCGGAGAACAACAGAAGCTGCTGCGGAGTTCGGCCCACCGAGCCGGAGGATCTTACGGCCGGAGCCGAGGCGTCTGTGGCGGACTGAGCGGGTCATGGAGACGCAGAAGGACAACGGAGGCTCGGTTTCTGTGGATGTGAACGAAAACGAAGATGAACCGGTGGGTGTGGAGGAGAAACCGGGTCCCCGGACCCTGAAGGAGCGCAGCCTGCTGGCCGGGTCAGCGGGGTCAGGGCGGCGGCTGGACCCGGGATCCGGTTGATTTCAACGGGAGGAACGCAGCCAGACACCCGGAGATCATGCTGGTCGCTGCGGAGGACGGGTACCGGTCCGGCCCGGTGGTGCTGGGCGGTGTGAACGGGTTCTCCCTGGAAGCGAGAGGTCCAGCTGCGCTCCAGGAGGATGGAGACGCTTCTCCCCCCTGGACCAGCGCTCCTGTCCGGAGAGGCCGAACCGGACCCCCGCGGGGGTCAACCTGTCCAACGGGGTGGCCGGCAGAGCGGAGGCGGCGGTCCGGGGTCTGGGTCAGAATCCGGGTCAGAACCCGGGTCAGAACCTGGGTCAGTGTGATCTGAGCCGGGAGGAGCTGAAAGTAGCTAACGGTGGTTTGCACATGATTGGTCCCCGTTCTGAGTGGCCCGGTTCCGATTACTTCCCTGTAAACAGACACTCTGACCCGGGCTGTTGGCAGCGCCGCGACCCCAGATCCCCACCATCCACCCCGGAACCGAGCCCCGGCCCCGCGTCGCCCTGCCCGTCCAGCCCGCCGTCCGAGCCCAACACCCGGCAGGAGGACGAGGAGCCGCTCGGTGACCCGGATGTTCCCGCCAGGCCGCGGAGTCTGCGGACCAACCCCGCAGCCAGCGTGTCCCGCAGCTGTGACGCCACCCCGCTGACCCCTGATGAGGACGGGGGTTCAACTTTGACCCCGAGGCGGGCCGGAGGCAGAGCGCTCCGGACAAGCTGAGTGAGGAGACCGGAGGTTCGGAGCTCAAAGTGATGCCCAAAAGGTTCGGCATCGCGGACTTCTTCACCAGGTAGAGGTCTGGGTTTAACCTTTAACCCTGCAGGAACCAGGTTCCCAGTCGCACTAGATCATTTGTAACAGACAACCTGAAGGCAGCCAACGGAGCAGTCTGGTGTTCCAGAACCTCAGCAGAACCATGCCACGCTGCACTGATGCAGGAATTCCTGCAACAGGAGCCCAGACCCGGTTCTGATTGCAGAGTCTGGACCCCTGGTTCTGATCATCAGACCACCTGGATAAAATCCAGATCCAGTCTGAGTGAAAAGGCTGCTGGTCCTTCAGAACCTTTGTTGTTGTTTAGAAGAAGTTCAGCTGGTTCTGGTTCTGATCGGTCCAATGTTGCTCTAACATCAGCTGTTACTATCATCTATCTTTGGCATCAGGATTCATTTTCAAGAAATAAGTTTCTACATCAGAACCGCTGTGTCTGCTGCAGAACCGACCCAGAGTTCCCTCTGCTCCAGAGCTCAGCTGCTGCAGGTTTATTTATGTGACATATTAAATTTATTCAGTGGGAAAACTGGACGGTCATCATAACAAGTTCTACTGGACGATTTCTAATAAAATAACTTTTTGAAATAAATGATAATATTTTTGATTTTAGATCATTTTCAGTAATAAATGCATAAAAATGCAAAATTATAATAAGCATTTAACTCTGGAACTGGAAGACATTTTAAAATAAATAAAACAACCAAAAACAATAAATACAATAGATCATAAACTCTAAAAACTAATTTCCCTTAAATTAATAATCAGAGAGGAAATAATCAATCAATAATCATTTGGACCAGAACTTTCTGATTTGATCAGAGCAGAACCGTCTGCTCTGCTCCGGGTCCGATCACATGTTCTCTGCTCCTCAGCAGCTCACAGTCATCGGATCATGAAGACCAGAACCGACCCGACCCGTTTAAAAGCCTTCCTCTGAGCTTCAGTACCGCCTGGTTCTGTCAGAACAATCCGGTCCAGACAGTGGGCGGTTCTGTCGAGTTCAGTACCTGCTTGTTCTGCTCATGATTGATCCAAAACGCTGGTCGAATTCAGAACCGCCAGTTTGGACTGAAGTGAAAGGAAGAACCATAAAAATCATTTTATGAGTTTTTTCAGTTTCGTCTGAAATGTTTTATTTTCATGTTGATTCGTCCAGAACCAGAACCAGAACCAGCTTCAGTTATTCAGAGGACTGGAGGTTCGGAGCAGCTGGGAGCTCCAGAACCAGATGGTTCTGCAGACCGGGACCGGCAGGTTTGGAGTTAAATCTCCATATGCCGGAGCAGTGCTGCTGGTTTGGACCCGGTCCAGAGCAGCTGCCTGGACACAGAGCCGCAGGAAATCCAGGCAGACAGAGGAATGAAGGCTCAGGAGCCCCGGTTCTGATCCGACTAACACTCAGCAGCATTTGGGTTTGAGCTTGGTGGAGCTGGTTCTGGTGGTGTCCAGTTAAACCAGTTGTGGTTCTGAGTGGGACCAGCTGTCCTTCCACTCAGTAACAACTGACTCAGGGAGTCAAACTTCCTGTTTCTGGTCCGGTTCTGTTTCACTTGTTGCATCACAGCCACATGTGGAACAATGGAGAGGAAGACTTGGTTCTGTTTGGGCCCGGTTCAGCCCAGTTGACGCGACACTGGCTTCACTCTGAAACAGATGCTGCGGGAGTCTAGTTAAAGTACAGAAGGGTTCATGTTGGTTTCTGTCGGGCTCTGGGTGTCCAAAGCGAGGTTCGAGGGCCGTTTGTGGCCCTCAGGTTGGTTTTGTGTGGACTGTCACTGCAGTTCTGCAACGGCACAAATTTGGACACATTCTGTCATATTTCAGACGAGTTGATTTCTTCTTAAATGGGAACAAAAAGTAATCTTCTCAGCCTTTTTATGTTTTTATTTTGATTTCATAATAATAAGTTGCATCACAAACGTCTGGCAAGTTTTTACTCAAAAACAGACGTTAGTCACATCCATCCATTATACTGAGCTAAATACAGCAGAGTTTGTAGAAGAATATTCTCATTTTCTTTTCTGACAATAATGTAAAGCATTATAGACTTAAAAATAATAAGCTCCCAAAAGATAAATGATTGTGAAAGTTATGACAGACATGAAATATTACATGATTTATTTATTGTTGTTCAGGTAAAATATGCCCCTGAATACTTTGAACTTGGGGATTTTGGTCTTAAAGTTTCCTCCTAGCATAGCAGTGAATGGAAGCAGCTAAAAATCCCACACTTTGACACTAACTGGTCAGTTTTGGTTCCTTTTCCCATTGGATCTGGTCTGTTCGGCTTATTGATACGATGTTCTGCATCTGTTGGACAAAGCATCTTTGTTTACAACGTCAGCTAATGCTAACTCTTTGTTAGCGCACCTGAACCAGCTCGGGAAGCGGTTCAAACTGACCACAGGTCATGTGAACGCTTGGAAATCACCAACAGATTTCTGTTAGTTTAATAAGTATCAGCTGAATTCTTGATACTTATTAATAAAATAAAAACTTCTGGACTCTTTGTTTCCTGAAGTTGTTTCTCCAGACCAATCGCTCTAATTGGTTCATTTGGGTCACATGACTCCCTCAGTTCAGCCTCTGGGTCGTCACCTCCTGAGACCCAGACAGATGCCGACTGACTCCAACGTGTTGGGGTCACGTCTACAGGTCAACCTGGTCCAGATCCACCTGGGGACGCAGTCCAGCTGTCGGTGTCAGAAAGGTGAAACCAGAATCAGCTGCTCGCTCTGAAACGTCTGAAACGTCTGACTGCTGAACTTTGTGGTGAGCAGAAACTGTTTCCATGGAGGCGTTGAGTGTCGTTCTTCATAAATCCTCCTGGTTTCTCCTCTTCATGCCTCCTGTCAGCTGATCTGGACTTTTCCACTGAGGAGAATGTAAAAGTGTTGATCTCACTGCTTTTTCACGGCTTTTTCCTCTAAAGTCGTTAACATCAGCGCAGAAACTGCTGCTGCTGCACAAATGGCCCAGAGTTTGTAACCGCAGTCGTTGCTTCACTGCTGTTCAGGGAACCGAAACGATTTTCTCTAGTTTGGTTCAGTCCCACATCAACAGTGATGATTCCTCTCTTCATAAACAGATTGACATGTTGAATATAGAAAAGGGTCATTTTTACATCATTCAGAAGAAGGTTCTGTGTAAAACTAATGGAAACAATTAGAGATCTAGAAACAAAGATCAAAGATCAGATATTTCCTCTAGTGGAGTTTGTTCTGCTGTTCATCAGTTCAACACTTTGACTGAAATCTTCTTGTTTTCCATTAAATCAGCTGCATGTGACTCAAAACACTAAAACATTTTAATGTTTGTTCAAAAGAGAAAATTTAACAAAAAATAAAAAAATACAGTTTTGAAAAAGCTAGTTCTACAGAATAAGTCGAGGTTTACATGTAAGTCTGAAGCTGATCACGCTGCAAACAGGCTAGCTAAATGCTAACCTAGCATTATCAAGCTAATGACATGCTAATGGCTGGCACATAATTGGAATAATCACACTGACATTGTGGTTTCTCTTTGGTTAATTAGGGAACAAGCTGCTGGTCACTAACTGACTAACCTACAATGAAAGATTAATAAAATGAAAGATTAATAAAATGAAAGATTAATAAAATGAGTTGTTTTTGAAAACAATGCGGTGAATTTCAGTCGCTCTCAGTTAGCTAGTTGACATCAGGCCAGATGTTTGTTGTTGGATATTTTGTACTGGTGGATGTTTAGGAGATATTTATGGTTTAGATGATATTCAACACGTCTCCAGTTAAAACAGATCTTTGCTGGTTTGATGTTTCCTGTGGGGCTGATTGGATCAGAGATCAAATCACTGGAAACTTAATTAACTGGAGACAAATGGAGTTTTTTATTGTTTAAATTAAATCAGCTTTAATAACAGTTTCCTTCTTTCCTTCAGGAGCCTGTTTTCTAGAAAACCCAAAGAGTCCAAGGCAGCGTCCCACAATGCAACAGGATGGCGACTGTTCAGCAAGTCAGAGACCAGAGAGGAGGAGCAGAGCGGCGAGGCGGCCATGACGCCGCCGCAGGTTCGTCTGGACTCACATAAAATGTCTTATTACACTTTAAAAATACAAAACTAACTTATAAGTTACCTTTCAGCAGCATATAGATATTTGTTTGAGTCAATAATTCCTTAATGTTGATGAAAACAATAATAATTATACGGGAAATAATCTGCCAGGGGAACAAGACATTTTTATCATAAGTTAAAATGTTTTGGCAAATTATTTCAGCTATAACTTAATTTTTTTATTAATGCTGTGGTAGAATAAAACAGATTATGGTAGAATATCCTTTTTTGATCCCAAGGAGAGATTGCTTATTATTGGACAAGCATTAAATATTAATAACACAAATATAGCCATAAAATTAATAAAATCTATATCATGGAGTAATGTCAGTAATTAATTTAGTAAAATAATAAATTAAAAAATGTACAAGTAAAGACATTATTGACTTACGACAAGCTCCTGCATTGTGGTGAAGAATTCATTTTAAATGAGTTTTTTCTTATTTCACATGTTTCTAAATATTTGCTCCAGAATCTTCCTCAGAACTCTTGCTGAGATTTTGTGTTTTTGCAGAACTTCATGTTTGGTCCTGCAGAAAAACCTCAACTGGATTTTATTAGCAGTTCCCCATAGAAACCAGTTTGCTGCTGGTTCTTCATCCGGACCACCTGTTGTTGGATCCGGTCCGGTTCGGTGCGGTCCGGTCTGGTTTGGTCCAGTTCGGTTCTCGCCTGTTTTTACGGCTCATCTGGGTCTGTAAATGGATTTTGTGGGGGTGTCATCTCTCTCTCTCTCTGTCTCTCTCTCTGTCTCTCTCTCTCTGTCTCTCTCTCTGCCTCTGTCTCTCTCTCTGCCTGTGTCTCTCTGTCTGTCTCTCTGCCTGTCTCTCTGCCTCTGTCTCTCTCTCTGCCTGTGTCTCTCTCTCTGTCTCTCTGTCTCTCTCTCTGCCTGTGTCTCTCTCTCTGTCTCTGTCTCTGTCTCTCTCTGTCTCTCTCTCTGTCTCTCTCTCTCTCTCTCTGTCTCTCTCTGCTGCGTTGGTGTTTCGGGCGATCAGCAGCAACATGGCCGCCGTGGCTTTTCCTGCTGCTCAGACCGTCTGGCAGCTGCTGCTGTTTCTGGCGGGTCACATGACCCGGGGGAAGCAGACGCCACATGTGTCTTGGCTGAGAGGGGCTGACACGTCAGGAGGAAGAGGAGGAGGAGGAAGATGGCGGCGTTCCCGGCCGCCACGGCGTTCCCAGATGTGATTACAGGACCGACAGATGTTTTCTACTCCAGGGAAGAAACAGAAACATCTGAGACTCTCTGAGTCACTGACTGGACTGACAGCTCGGCCGGGTTTATCCAAACTGTTGGTTCTGCTGCGTAGAACCGGGTCAGAACTCCAACCAGACTCTGAGCCTGGAGGCCTTTTAATGGAGGTGTAAATTCTGACACGATATTTAGACACAATGTTCAAACATAAAGGACAAAATGAAGGAAAACAGGAGAAAAAGAAAAGAGAAAACAGAAAAATGAAAAAACAAAGGAAAGAAAAAGATGATTTTAATTAGAAAAGGGACATGAAGGAAGGAGAGAAAAGAAAATTAAAAAGAGAAAGAAGGAGATCAAGAAAGGAAAACAAGACGAGATGAAGACAGAAATAATAAAAAGGAAAAATGAGAGAAAAACAGAAAAAGGGAAAATAATGATCAGGTTGATTATTGGTTCAGTTTCTAATCACATCCTGCAGAAAAAGGAAACAGTTTTCAGACATTAAATTGTGTGGAAGGACGATCTCTCCTTAAAGACCCGGTTGGACCCCGACCCGGTTGGACCCCGACCTTGGTTCTGCTGGTCAGACCCAGCCACAGGCGGCTGATCCTGTCCTCCTCTGCCTCCCCCTGCTGGCTGGAGGGGGAAGCGGCGTTATGAAAGGATGCTGTTGTCGGCGGTCAGCTGTCCTCCTGTGAATCAGCCTCCATTGTTCCGCTACAGACACGTCCATTCATCAGGAGCTGGACGTGTCCTCATCAGCATGCAGGACGCTCTGGTGTCTCCGTCCAGAACCGCTTGGGTTTCAGCTCTTGTCTGTCTCTGTCCTCAGCAGGAGGACGAGGACTCGCCGTGTCCACAGCGCCCCTCGGCTGCAGGGAGGAGAAAGAACCTGGAGTTTGAGCCTCTGTCCACCACCGCTCTGATTCTGGAGGACCGGCCGTCGTGAGTCCCGCCAGAACCGCCGTGAGTCGCCATGACGGCGGCCCGCTCAGCTGACTGTCCTCCGTCTGTCCCCAGGAACCTGCCGGCCAAGTCCCTGGAGGAGACGCAGAGACACAAGCTGGAATACGAGGAGATGGTGGCCGGAGCCAAGAGGAGAGGTGAGCTCCCTGACCTCTGACCTCCAGGACTCTCAGGTGCAGCGTCCTGACCTCTGACCTCCTGTCTCCAGAGATGAAGGACGCCCAGAAGAAGAAGCGCCAGATGAAGGAGCGATACCGGCAGGAGGACAGCATCTCCAGCGCCATGGTGGTCTGGAACAACGAGATCCTGCCGCACTGGGATGCCATGTAGGTGCTGCGGGGTCGGGGGTCAGCGGGGTCAGGGGTCAGCAGCTCACCCTGTGTGTGTTCAGGAAGGGGACGAGGCGGGTCCGGGACCTCTGGTGGCAGGGCCTTCCTCCTGGAGTCCGAGGACGAGTCTGGGGCCTGGCCATCGGCAACGAGCTCAACATCACGGCAGGTACCGACCCGGTTCTGGTTCTGGCTCTGGGTTCTGTTTGCTCCTCTGGTTCTGGCTCTCTAAGGCCCGGTTCTGGTTCTCTCTGTAGAACTGTATGAGATCTTCCTGTCCAGAGCCAAGGAGAAGTGGAGGAGCTACAGCGAGACGAGCTCGGTCAACGACAACGAGAGCGGTACCGGTCCTGGTTCTGAAGGTTCTGTTCCGACCCGGGTCGGCGGGCCGCCTCAACCCGGTTTGTTCTGTTTCTCTGCAGACGGAGGAGCATCTCTGGCGGACCGGGAGTCCAGTCTGGACCTCATCAAGCTGGACATCTCCAGAACCTTCCCGTCTCTCTTCATCTTCCAGAAGGTACCGAACCAGCAGTGGCGCCGCCGGGCCCGGTTCGCTCTGGCCCGGTTTGCTCTGGCCCGGTTCGCTCTGGCCCGGTTCGCTCTGACCCGGTTGTGTTCTGTCCGTAGGGCGGGCCGTACCACGACCTGCTGCACAGCGTGCTGGGAGCCTACACCTGCTACCGACCCGACATCGGCTACGTGAGTCCGCCCTCCGGAACCGGATCGGTTCCGCCGGGCTCCGCTGGGCGGCCGCCCTGTGTGTCCCGACCCGGTCCGACCCGGTTCTGTGTGTCGCAGGTCCAGGGCATGTCGTTCATCGCCGCCGTGTTGATCCTGAACCTGGAGGAAGCCGAGGCCTTCATCACCTTCGCCAACCTGCTCAACAAGCCGTGTCAGATGGCGTTCTTCAGGGTGGACCACGAGCTGGTGAGGTTAACATGGAGACCGGCAGAACCCGGCAGAACCCGGGAGGACCCGGCAGAACCCGGGAGGACCCGGCAGAACCCCACTGACCCGTCTCTCTGCTCTCCTCCAGATGCTGAAGTATTTCACCGCCTTTGAGATTTTCTTTGAGGAGAATCTTCCTCGACTCTTCAGCCACTTCCAGACCAACAGCCTGACCCCTGACCTTTACCTGATCGACTGGTCAGCGTTTTCATCTTCAATATACATTTATAGAAAAATAAAATTTAAAAAAGTTTCATTTTTTAAAACTTTTTATATATTTAAAGTTTTTTCATTCCAGTTTTTAAGCATTATTATTTTACAACTTATTTTGAGAAAAAGTTTATTTTTCCAAACCAAAAACATTTAAAATACGTCATAAACTTTTATAAAACATTTAGAAGAATACCAGAATGAGGCGGTTATTTCTGAACGTCCCTGCCTGTGCGTCCAGGATCTTCACGCTGTACAGTAAGTCTCTCCCGCTGGACGTGGCGTGCCGGGTCTGGGACGTGTTCTGCCGGGACGGCGAGGAGAGCCTGTTCCGGACCGGCCTGGGGATCCTGCGCCTCTTCCAGGACGTCCTGCTGCAGATGGACTTCATCCACATCGCCCAGTTCCTCACGCGCCTCCCCGACGACCTGCAGCCGCACACGCTGTTCGCCGCCATGGCCAACACGCACATGGTCAGCCGGAACCGCCGCTGGGCCCAGGTCCGCTCCGATTCCCGCAGAATCACGCCGGCCGGAGCCACTTCCTGTGTGACTTCCTGCTTCCTGTCTGCAGGTGTTCTCCGCCGTGATGAAGGACGGGAACGTCAGAGAGGCGGAGAAGTCCAGCAGCCCGGCTCTCAGGAGCTAACGCTGACCTGCTGCTCCCTCCGCTGGCCGGGTAACCGCTCCAGAACCTCTCCGGTCCGGTTCCTTTCCGGTCCGGTTCCTCTCCGGTCCGGTTCCTCTCCCCTTGCTGCTCCGGGTTCCTGGATCGGCTCTAGCAGTATTTATCCCAGATGAAGGATTCAGACGTATCAGAATGTGCTGCTTTCTTCCTCTGGATCCTGATTTCCTCTCAGCACTTTATTCCTGCAGAACCCAGCGGAACCAACCCGACGGGCCCTCTGGTTCTGTTTGACCCGCCCTCTGGTTTTGTTTGGCCCGCCCTCTGGTTCTGTTTGACCCGCCCTCTGGTTCTGTTTGACCCGCCTGCTGGTCGCCTTCCAGGAGTAAAACTGTGAGCTCCTCCTGCTCCAGAGTTCAGCAGCAGCCGCTCAGTCGGGCTGGGAGGGCGGAGCCACCGGAGGTCATGTGACCCGAGGAAGAGCGAGAGAGTCAAACGGATCCGATTCACAAGTTCTGGTGGTTTTAATCCCATCAGCGGGTCAGATGGTGAAACATCTGATTGTTTCCCCGTTCATTGAAGGCATCACCAGCAGAACGTTGATTCTGGGTTTCCAACATTCCCACCGAGCTGCAGAGGAGGTCCAAACACTCCTGCTGGTTCTGGTCCTGGTTCTGGTCCCGGTTCTGGTTCTGGTCCCGGTTCTGGTCCTGGTTCTGGTTCTGGTCCCGGTTCTGGTCCTGGTTCTGGTTCTGGTCCTGGTTCTGGTCCAGGTCCTGGTTCTGGTCGGGATCGTGGTTCCGCTCCGGTCCATTCCTCTATGGTTCCTTTTCGCTCTCTGAACCCAAACGTCAGTCGGGTTCAGACTCCGCGGTCCGACCCGACGCTGCAGCCTGAGGTTCTGCTGGGACAAGGTGGACCCGATTGGACCAGCAGAACCACCGGGCCCAACTGTGAGGAACATTTAAATCCAAGGTGAAGTTCTGATCCGGTTCCTGTTCACATCTGAACCAGATAAACCACATCGTTCCATGTTGACCTTTGACCTTTTCCCACCTGGTGAGCGTCAGAGGAAGAGTCCGTGTTTCCAGGAACATGTCGGTGGTTCTGGTTCTGTTTGGAGGTAAAGAACCAGAACCTGGTTGTTCAACACTAGAAGCTTCAGGCAGGAAGTGGTTCTTTCAAAATAAAACTCGACCAAAGAGTGAGTCGATCCGAATCCGGATCGACCCGCTTCGTGTCGGTTCTGGATCCGCACTAACCCGACCAGACGGACCTTCGGTTCCGGCAGCAGAAAGTATCAAACTGTTTCCTGATCCTCGACGCCGTAAATTATTAAATTATTCAAACTGAAACGATTAAAATCCATAAAGATTTTCCTCCAGTTGGGAAAACAACCGATCCGGACCCAGATTAGTTTCCCTCGGTCCTGGTCCCGGTTCTGGTCCCGGTCCTGGTTCTGGTCTCGGTTCTGGTCCTGGTCCAGGTTCTGGTCCCGGTCCTGGTTCTGGTCTCGGTTCTGGTTCTGGTCCCGGTTCTGGTCTCGGTTCTGGTTCTGGTCCCGGTCCTGGTTCTGGTCCCGGTTCTGGTTCTGGTCTCGGTTCTGGTTCTGGTCCCGGTTCTGGTCTCGGTTCTGGTTCTGGTCTCGGTTCTGGTTCTGGTCCCGGTTCTGGTTCTGGTTTTGGTCCTGGTTCTGGTCCTGGTTCTGGTTCTGGTCCTGGTTCTGGTCCTGGTCCTGGTTTTGGTCCTGGTTGTGGTTCTGGTCCTGGTTGTGGTTCTGGTCCTGGTCCTGGTCTTGGTCCTGGGTCTGGTCCCGGTTCTGGTTCTGGTCCTGGTTGTGGTTCTGGTTCTGGTCCTGGTTCTGGTTCTGGTCTCTGCTTGTTTCCACTAACTGGATCCACTTTGTGTCCTAGTCAAAGTAAACTTATTCCATCAACATGTTTATTATTTATCAGCTGTTTTATGTTATTGTTGTTGAGCTGTTTTCCCATAATGCCTTACAGTTGATGTAAATAAACTGTAAAAAGGTTTTTTCATAAGGCGCCTCTCGTCTGATGTGTAAATAAATATCTAAGCAATCTGACTGGACTGGCCTCTATCAGACAAAACATTATGACCACCAACATTCCTTCATTAAACCTTGATGAATAAAAATCTCTGTGCTTCAGTGATTGTTCATGTAGCCCAACAGGAATTATGTTCATTTATACAACACAAGTCATTTCAATGCAATCACAAGCAGCACTATCTCCTCCCTGACCAGCAGGGGGCGACATCTGACAAGCACTTGTGACTCAAACTGAGAATACATGCGGCGACAGTAGAGAGTAAAAACTCATTCAACAGGAAGAAACCTGTCAGAGGATAAAAGCAGCTCTGAATCCACCCACAGGAACTTGGTTTCAGTTCTAACATTATTTTTCATCTAATTTTCCTTCAGTCATGATCATTTCACTCCAGCTGCTCCTCATTAGTTGCTCTGTGTTTTCTGCTCTCTGCTGGATTCTCTTGTTTCCAGTTTGATTTGGAGAATGTGGGAAGTTTGCAGCAGTTTGCAGGATGCAGCTGCTGCCACAAGGTGGAGCCAGAGGACCTGCTTTAACAATCCTCTTCTTCACGGCTCTGCTGCTGATCTATGAATGAATGAAATAGTTCAGAGCAGATACTGGGAGATGTTTTTCTCTCCTTCCTTTCATTTTGTTTTCCAGCTCAGAACAAAAGTCTCTCTGTTCTCAGTTTTTTCTAGAAAAATAGTTTCTCCTCAGAGAAACTACAGAATCGTCACGTCTGGGTTTGAGCTCTTCTGATCTGAGATCAAACTCGTCACTGGAGAGCTGAGCTGCTGGCTGCAGATCTGTATCTGATTCAAACGCGTGTGACGGGCCCCGCTGTGACGGGCCCCACGGCGGCCCGGGGGCCTCAGGCATTTCCGAGGCCTGCAGAGGACGAGGAGCGGGGCCCACATGGGGCCCGGGCCGCTATTTGGCAGCAGTCTGAGGTGTTTCCTGAAGAGGCGGGGCCGGAGAGGAAGAAGGAGCCCAGCGGGGCCCCTGAGGGCCTCTGAGATGCCCCAGCAGGAGGCGGGGAGGTCAGGGCAAAGGAGAGCTGCCTGGCATAGAGCGGATGAGGCTGAGGAAGCAGAAAAAACCCAGCGGAGGGGAAACCTGACGGATGTGTTTACACCGCTTCATGAACGTGTGATGGATCTGCTCATCGGTTCACAGGTCGAGTTTTTCTCCACAGGTCGAGTTTTTCTCCACAGGTCGAGTTTTTCTCCACAGGTCGAGTTTTTCTCCACATGTCAGGCTGGAAGCCGTTTAGGGACAAGTCAGGCATCAAGACTGGGAGATCAAGACTCTAATCCTTACAACCGATCCAGGTCAGGGCTTTGCTGATAAACGTCTAATTCAAGCTTCATTCACATAAAGTCAAAAGTAAAAGCTTGGAGTTTTAACCCAAATCCAGGTCAAGACCTTCAGAATGACCTCAGGTTCTGGTTCCAGGTGTGCAGAAACTAAACCTGGCAGCTGTTATCACTGGATCCAAGTGTTGATCGACCGCCAACCTGATGGTGCTGATCAGGTTTCAGTTCTGATGTAAGGAAGAGATGAAGAGAGAAGCAGCTGATCTGCTGCTGGACCGTTACGGTCAGAGAGGGTTTCTCTGAAACCAGGAGGAAGAGGAGGAAGAGGAGGAAGAGGAGCCTGCTGCTCAACACGTCGTTTCCTGTCCTGTATTGATCACTGATCACTCATTGATGACTGATCACTCATCTCTCCTGCTGAACCCTTTCTTCTCTCAGTTCAGTCTCTCCTCCTCTTCCACTCATCACTCCATCCTGTTTCCTTTCAGTTCGTCCGTCTTCAACCTCTGCAGGTTTAAAGCGTCCACTGAGAGTTCAAATCTAAATTCAGGTGGAAATTAAAAAGCAGCAATTATTGCATTTTCATCCATCTGAAATCATTTCATTTGAGGTCTGAACCGTTTTCTCAGATCTGCTTCCATCCATTCTTAGACGGCAACTTGTTTAATAATAATTTCTGACATGAGGAAGATGAGGTGATGGAGTGGATGAAGGTGAGGTGATGAAGATGAGGTGATGAAGATGAGGTGATGGAGTGGATGAAGGTGAGGTGATGAAGATGAGGTGATGAAGTGGATGAAGATGAGGTGATGGAGAGGATGAAGATGAGGTGATGGAGTGGATGAAGGTGAGGTGATGAAGATGAGGTGATGAAGATGAGGTGATGGAGAGGATGAAGATGAGGTGATGAAGATGAGGTGATGAAGATGAGGTGATGAAGAGGATGAAGATGAGGTGATGAAGGTGAGGTGATGAAGATGAGGTGATGGAGAGGATGAAGATGAGGTGATGAAGATGAGGTGATGAAGATGAGGTGATGAAGGTGAGGTGATGAAGATGAGGTGATGAAGATGATCTCTGGGTTTCTAAATTCAGCCTCCTGAGTCAAAACTTTGTGAAACCTCCTAGTTTTTGTCTCTTCCGTCGTCAAAGTGACGGATTCGTTCATCTTCCACTGACTCCTAGATTTAATCCCACGCTGCTGCTTTAGCGCTCACTAAATATTATGTTGCACTTTAGATTTGGAGGAAGTATTCTTTATGATTAGTGATTAAATGTTAGAGTGGATAATGAGTTTGTTCTGGTAAAACCCAAACCTCACAGGATCTCTGGAACATCCCATAAATCCTCTGCAAGGCGACAAAAACTACCAACGTCTCTCAGAAACCAAAACATTGTAAGATCCAGTCACTGATGAGTCATTTAAACAAGATCAAATTTTCTATATGATTAAATTTGTCATAATAATACAAACTTCTGCCTTTGGACTGGGCTTGGATGTGGTTTTAATTTCAGTTTGGTCTCTGGAGGTGATTTCTCTCAAGGCTTCTCACAGAAACCCATTTGGGTTGCAGACGGAGGTGAAAAGGTCAGAGGGGTTACACCTGCAGAGGAGCTTCCTGAATGGCAGGAACTCAAGCCGGTTTCCCATTAGGTCAGTGGCCCCCGAGGGCCGATCCTCTTTA